GAACTCTCAGAAGAAATTAAACATAGCTGGCAGCAAGATGAAGATTTACAAGCCCTTATTATCCAGCTACAACAACAAGACGATATGGCTGGAAATTATTCTTGGGATGGTGAATTTTTGAGGAAAAGTGGCAGATTGGTGATAGGCAATAACAATTGATTAAACAAAAAAACCCTAGAATGGCTTCACGCCACTCATTTGGATGGTCACTCAGGGATTCATGCCACTTACTAGCATGTCAAGTCTTATTTTGGTGGAAAAACTTATTTGCTAAAGTTAAAGATTTTATTAAAAATTGTGATACTTGTGCTAGGTATAATTATGAATCTGTGGCTTATCCCGGTTTGTGACAGCCTCTTCCGGTGCCTAGTAGAGTATGGGAGAGTGTAACAATGGATTTTATTGAAGGGCTCCCTAAGTCGTGTGGGAAAGATACAACTTGGGTGGTGGCAGATAGATTAAGTATTCCTCGTTTTCTTCCACTTTCTCACCCCTTCTCGGCTTCTACTTTGGCTCAACATTTTCTGGATAATACTTGCAAACCCCATGGTGCTCCTATGGAAATAATAAGTGATCGGGACTCCCTCTTTATCAGTAACTTTTGGAGGGAATTCCTTAAGGTGCTGGCCATTGATCAAAAATTGACTTCCTCTTATCATCCACAAACGAATGGTCAGTTTGAGGTTCTAAATCGCTGCCTAGAAACTTATCTATGGTGCATGTGCTGGGAAAAGCCTAGAGATTGGTGCAAATGGCTAGCAATGGATGAATGGTGGTATAACACCACTTACCACACAACAACTAAGGCTACCCCCCATGAATTGCTATATGGTCAAAAGCCTCCCATTCACATACCCTACTTACCTAGAGATGCGATTGTGGTGGCTGTGGATAGGTCATTTACAGCAAGGAAGGAAGCTTTATTAATAGCTAAACGCCACCTAGACCAGGCTATTAACATTATGAAGCAATGGGCTGATTTGCATCGGACTGATGGGGAATTTCAGATTGGTCAATGGGTTTTCCTAAAGCTCCAGCCCTACTGTCAAATTTCTGCAGCGTCAAGGAGCTCTTAGAAGTTGGCTCCTAGGTACTTTGGTTCCTATAGGATTATACAGAAAATAGGGCCTGTCACTTACAAGCTAGAACTCCTTGCTGATTGAAGAATACATGATGTATTCCATATCTCCTTATTAAAACTGTGCCCTGACCATAAGGTTAAGCAGCACCATCCTCCTCTTAATTGGTCTGACCCACCACCAGTTAAAGAGCCAGAACAGATTCTGAATAAACGGCTTGGTAGGAAAAAAGGATGAGTTATCACTGAGGTTTTGGTCAAGTGGAAACAGCTCTCAGAAGGAGAAGCTACTTGGGTGCCCTTGTACCAATTGCAGCGGCAACATCCCACTTTTCAAGAACAGAACCTTTGAGGACAAGGGTTTTTGAAGGGGGGCATTGTTATGTAATCATAGAAGAATAAATGATTTGGGTCCAGGAGTGGTTGCTAATCCGATAAGCTGCGTGGGTTAATAATGGATCACTAGTTCAATAAGGCCGAAGGGTAGTTTAGGCAGTCTGTAGATAGTTAGCTATTAGGTTGTCTTTAAATACAATCCTAACCTCTGTACTTATCAGTTGATCATCTAATGAATTCTCATGCGCATGATTCAGTTTCCCTCTTTTCTCTCTAATCCTCTTCCTTCCCTGTCTCTCTGACTTTCCTTTCCCTCTCTCTCCTTCTATCTTCTACAAACCCACACTAGATTCTTTATTATCTACAGTAATTTTGCATAAATTTCACAAGATATGTAAATTTTTAAGTCTATGAGGAAATGGTGAACTCATTTGACTATAAGAACTTGTGTTATTATTTGCCAAAGGCAGAGGAGGAAGCAAGTTTTTGGAAAGGTTCAACATAGTAGTCAATATGTAATTTAAAAATTAACTGCCTGCTTTAGAGACAAAATCAAATATTAAACGTTTTGCCTTCTACTATTCTAGCATAGGCCTTATGATTTCGAAGAAGGAATAACTTCTTAATTTCTCAAGCAACAATGCAAAAAGAAGGCAACTACACTGTAATACATCTCCCAAGCTAAATAGATTCTTCAAACAATTTAAAATTCAGGAAATAAAATGCTTTGATAAAGCAAGAGAACAGCCAATTATCTTTCAACAAATAGAAAATGATATAAACCTGCGGATCTATGGGATCAAAATAACAGGGAGATGCGGTATGAAAGACACCCTCACACCCTTCAACAGCTTGGTCAAAGGAACCTTCTTCCTGGAGATCTGCTTTAATCAGGCGCAGTCTCTCCTTTGCACCATCAAGCTTAAGCAAGTGATCTACCTTTCTTGGATCATCTGTGATGAATTACAAAGCACCAAAAATTGGTAACCCAAGAATATACACTATATAAAACAACAAAATATAATTGACTCCTTTGTGGTCATAGATTGGAACATATTTAAGATGAACTCACTTGGGTCACGGACAGTCCCCTTGACAGTGTAACCACGAAGAAGAAGGAACTTGACGAGCCATGAAGCAATATAGCCAGAAGCACCAGTGACACACACCACCTTTCCTTCACCTACGTTGTTGCCCATACTCTCTCGACCTTTCCTTCAATTTGGTAAAGTCAAACACTCAACAGATTCATTTTATCTATTAAATGTATGCCATATGTCCAACTTTTTCCACATCCATGTACATTCTTTTTGACTCTAGCGTGTTTTGTCTTAGTTGGCGGCGGCGCTTTGACTTCCAAAATGCTTAAGTCATCGCTTGGAGAGACACTAGGAACAGAGGAGCGAATATTCCGTTTCTCTGTCCGTTACTTAAACTCACATCGTCCCCATTCACTAATCTGGTTTTCCACGAACTTAACCCGTCTTTCCGAGCCGATCGAGCAATCCTTTGGGGATTCTTCGGGCAGCATCACGAGTGCCAGAGAGAGAAAATCAGCGCACCGAAGAACCACATCCACCATGGATCCCTGAGTCCAACACATCTCCTGCCAGTGACATATTAATTGGGTGATTCTTCTCAACATTTCTACACAATCTTCACTTGCATTTTTCTGGTTTGTTGCAGTATATGGGGGTAATCCGCTGGAAGAGGATCCCCTCTTCCCTTTGTCTCCATCCCCACCATTGGCGATGGGGGCAGAGTTTGAAGCCGGCCTTTGATATATGTATTGTAAGTGGCAACTTAATTTTGCCGGGAAAAAAAATAAGTCTAGGCTCTAGGGCCCTTTTGTTCATTAACTAAAAAACTTCAATATTTATAAATATTTTATAAAATAATTTTTAATTTCTTACTAAAGTTTTCAATTGTTTATGGTAAATGTTAATAAATTGAATTTATGTATTTTTTTAATTATTTAATATGATGGTAACAGCTTTATAAAATGTAAATTTCAACTGTTAAAAATTTAATATAAGACAGGGAATAGCTTTATAAATTATGCTACCAGCCCACACAGGAATATAAAACATAACTCATAACTAGTCACTATCAAACTTAACATTACTCATCAAATTTTATAAGAGTATTAACAATTTAACATATATAAAACACTCAAGAAAATAACTAGTCAAGTGTTTGAGGATGATCTTGACAAAAATTATAAATATCATTTTGCAAAATAATTAATCTCTTTAATTGCTTTAATCTGCAAGTTATGTAATGAAGCTTGTGCCAGACTACCATTGTTGAATTATTAGGGTCTAACGTTGATGTTATTTTAAGGTTCATTTTTATTAAATTTGTGTACATTAATTAAAGATTAGAACCCACTCATCCAGTGTTTAGTATTACCTTGGATTCCCCCCACCCCAAAAAAAAAAAAAAAAAAAAACCAACACAGGTGACCTTTCCCTTCCACACTAAAAGTGAAACTTCCACCATCTATTCTCTACGTTTAATCAAAAGAGCAATTGTAATTTAGTAAATCTTCATTCAATCAAATTTCAGTAATATGATGCCTTTAAAAATAAGGGAAAATAATTTTGTAAATATCTATATTTTTCCTTCTTCTTTTTTCCTTTGATACTACCTCTAATTCTTAATATATGAGCTGGTTTGACTTTCAATTTGATTCTAAATATAACAGCCTAATCTATTTTTCCTCTTATATTTATCTATTTATCTTAAAAATATTTTTTGTAATAATTACATATGTTAAAGATTTTATCAAATAATAATTTTAACTTATACACATGATTAATAAAAGTATTTGAGGAAAGACAATACCTATTTATTACAAATAATTAATTTAACAAGCTGACAATACTTATTTATTACAAATAATTAATTTAACAAGTTTTTTTAATCTATTCAAATTAACCAACTAGTTCTTATATTAAAAGGTTGTTTGAAAATATATAAGTGCTTTTAAAAAGCACTTTTCTGCAAAGCGAAACAAACTTATATACATATTTATTTCATGTACTATAAAAGCAATTTTAAAACCATAATTTAGTTTTCATCCAAATATCCCTAAGAACTTGAGATATTATCTATATAATTTTTTTCTTTTGATTAAATTATTTAAATTTACCCTGTTAGCGTTGATAGTCCTTATCATTAGCCATTGATGCTAAAAGAGCGAAATTTAAGAATTTAATTAAGAGAGAAAAAACGTATAGGTACTAAATTAAAATTTAACAAAAAAATATAGGTATCTCCAAAATGATTTTTTTTCCCCAAGATAATTATCAACCTTGATGGCAAAATATACACACGCACACACACCAGCCTTGCCGGATATGCAAATGTCATTTTCCCACTGAAAGATGTCTTCTACTCAGTAATCAATACAGAACAAAGGGTAGCCACAGGTGAGAAAGAACACAGAAATAGAGACTCACTTCCTCAGACATATTTTTGGGACTCATTGCCTGCCTATCATTGAATATAAGCCTCATAAGTACAAGTGAACAGAAGTTATTTCCTGTGAAATACTATTTCAATACATGCCTTGCATCCTAACTGGTCAATTACTGCTTTCTGTATCATTGAATACATGCAATGGAGTTGCTTGCATCCAAGAAAGTCTTAAAGCATGCTTAAGCTTATCAACATTTATTTATCTACATAGTTTTTGAGAGAGATCACAGTTAAAAGTTAATGAAGTTCTTCTCTTTCAAGCTTTCTATAGTCTCCTTCAGACTCACATCCAATGGGGTAAATTCAACTCCCAAGGTCAGTGCCTTCTTTTTAGAAAATTGATGCTTTGGCATAAAGGGCTTATCGTCCGCACACCTAACAAGTGAAAGACAAAGACATGAAATCAGAAACAAAAGACTCGGCCTTAAAAATATGTGACGTTATAAAGAAGCTGAGAGAGCAAGCCATTTTGGTCAACAAATATGATTGAATAACTGTTAAAAAAAAATAGTACTTCCTGGTCCCTACTTTTCCTTAAAGGAAAACACACGCGGATCAAAGAGAAAACAAAACCTATGTACTATATGAATATTTTGCATTTCTTGTATTCATCTCTTTTACTGTATATATCCCTATACCTTGTACACATGAGATTTTGAATCAATGAAATCAATCATTTTTCCCACAAGAACGGTAACAACCAAACGCCATTATTATCAGTTTACCAAGTAAAACAAAAAAAAAAAAAAAAGCCAATCATCTTCAAGTCTCTTCATGTATAGCACAGTAAGAATGATCAGAATATACAATGGTGACTGACATGAACTCCTTCGGAAGGCTAAAAGAAAAGAATCAAGAATAATACGAGATGAAGCAAAGCAATGTTCTTGCTACCGCTGAAAGCCATTTAGTTCGCTACAAGTAATGAGCAATTTTCAGTTCTTCAGGCAGAAGAGTTGGCCTTGGACATAAGTCAGACGAAGCAAATTATATACGTGAGGTTCTCAGTAACAAAGCTAAAAATTCAAGGGTTAATACATCCTTGAAATTATAATAATAATAATAATCAACTTACTTCTCAGGAAGTTGTAATGTTGGGAACAGCTCATGTAAAATCTGCACGAGTTCTGAGTAGTGTACAACTCTCTCAACCAAAATATATCTTCCGTTAGCTGAAGGAATCTCAAAGGCCTGAATATGGGCATTTGCAACATCTTTCACATTGACCCATCCTACACTATAGTTTGGATATGTTTGGCCTTCATCAAACAAGTAAGGGATGAGGAGCAACATATCAATTCTTGTCCAGGGATGAAAACAAAATATTTAATACGCATCCAAATCAACAGCTACTTAAAAAAAGAATAAATTAAAAAGTTAATCAAACGTATTAGATTGATATATTAGAAATTTAATGACAATACAATATTAAAGAAAAAAGGTTTTCAGACTATAACTTGGTTTCTTTGTAAGATAAAACCATAGTTCTCAACTGGCACTGGATGTTCACTTGTCTTCTTCTTCTTCATCTTTTGATAGGAAGTTCACTTGTCTTCTGTATAAATACAAATTGGGAGTTCAAAAAAAGTCTCCTTCACAATTACAGGATACAATTGTGTAACAATTTGAGTCCATGGCCTCATTGTGGTTTTTCCCCTTTCCAGTCTGACACTCATTTGTGGTGTTTGATATGTTAAAAATACTAAATCATCCTTTAGCTCCAAAACTTAATGCAGAAGTTAAAACACCTGAAATACGATGCAAAGATCACCAAATTTTTAAGGGTTAAAGGGCAATTATACTCTCAAACTATTCTCGCAGGAGCACTGAGTGTCTTAAACAATCAAGTAGTGTAATGCCCTCCTTAAACTTAGAAAAATGTTGCAAATTACCCCCTGCCGTTTCAAGAGGGTAAACGCCCATTAAATGAGCAGACTGGGCCCACAACGATAAGAGCAGGAGCAATACTGAGGCTAACATTTTCTAAGAAAATAAAAGGAGAAAATGCAGAGTCTCTAATCTATCATAATGTCAAGCATTGTGGATCCATGTAATACTTAGTAAACCAATTTGATAAAAAAAAAAATCGAATGAGGAGGCTTGCAAATAAGCAGTCACACATATTGTGGTAGACCCTTTCCGTTTTCATTTACAATAATCTGCAGAAGGAGATAAAATAAAATATAAACTCTTAAGAACAGTGACTTAGAATAAAGGAATTAAGTTTCCTATATACTCTCTTTAGCCCTAAATATAAAATCTAGTTAACTAATTCACATAAATCAAGGAAATTAGGTGAGTTAATTATTTGTAAAAATACGTGCTATTTTTTCTTAAATACCCCTCCTTTTAATCATTTATATGGATTATTATGAACATAACTTATATACCATACATGAATCTAACTATAGGGTTGTTTGGGAAAATGTAATATACATGGAAGGCAAAGGGGATTTTTTTCACTGAAGAAGACAAAGGGGATTGAGGCCTTTCATTTAAAGACCAAAACAAGTCCTTCAATTAGCTCATACATTAAAGACCAGAGGGAATAATAATAAACTCTATGACCTCGGATAACAATGATCTCAGACTCATTCTAGATAAACATAAACTCCAAGTCCATTAAGAGCTGTACTTCAATAAAATTTCTCCAAAACCATAACTCGCATTTTCTTATTCCAAGGTTCACAAGTCCACTTCAACATTTTAACACAAATTTCTTTTCAATTGACCATAACAAGAAAAGTAGTTCAGTTTAATGCAACAAGTAATCTAGGTGCATACAGAGCACAGAATAGGATTTCCATAGGGTGTGAACCTTGTGAGTGTATAAAGTTACCTTTTACGAGTTTAGATATAATAGCAGAACTTTCATTGAGTAATGGTTGCAAGAGTGGCCCAATCACATATGTTGGGTTGAGAGCAATTAGGTCAACGGTGTTTTCCTTCGCAAATTTCCAGGCAGCTTCTTCAGCCAAAGTCTTGGAAAGACCATACCAACGCTGAAAGAACAGAATACAAAACAGTAGGAAACTTATACAAGAATGTAAAATATTGAATGGTTACAAACTTGTCTTACAACAATTGGCAACAAGGGGAATAATTTTGAAACAAAAGTCCTAGATAGTCATGAATAAAGCATATTTTTACTTTTATTTTGTCTTCAACATGAAGTTTAGTTTATGCTTAGTGAAGAAATTCGCCTGAACTGGTTTTCCATATAGTGAAGGCAACAAACCTGCCTCCTTTAGCTAGATAATCTCGGGTAAATCTTGTAAATTAATTCAGATAAGATAAACAGATTTTACCCTATAATAATTTAAACAAAATAGAATAAAATAGATATAATAGTTAAGAAATAAAATATCACACTCCGCACGGGGGCACCTAACACGGCCTTCATTGGGCTAGGTTTGCCCTGCAAAGCCCATGAGAGTTGGGCTTTAGTGCATCGCTCCTCAACATTAGACCTCATCCCAATATTTTTCTTTTTATTTTACCCATAGTTATTCGTAGCACTTAATGCACTTGTTTTGCTAAGGCTGTGAAATGATATTGCGTCTAGTACATAGCATAGCACGAGCTGAATGGAAAGCTGGAGCAGCAATTTTGAGATATTCAAAATAAAATAGATGATAACCAATATATAAAGAAATGAAACTCATGTTGAAAAGAGCCTCATTACAGCATAACAACAACAACAACAAAGTCTTATCCCACTAAGTAGTGTCAGCTATATGGATCGCATGTGACGCCATTGAGCTTTATCAACAACAACAAAGCATAATAAGCATCTACAAATTTCACAATCATAAAAGACATCAACATTTCACTAAGATTTAAAGCGTAAACTTTATTCTAGGATAATAAAGAAACTGATTCCTTTTCTTCATGAAACCTAACATCATCCTAGCAATCATTATTAAGCAATCCTTCAATTTCCTCTGCAACTTGTGAGGTTCCAATTTTTTTCAACAGTCATATCAAAGGCACAAGAGAAGGGGTTTGTCTTTTTCTTATGCTTCTGACACAGTCAGTGAATGCTAAATTATCCAATAAGGAAAAGTTGCTTAAATTACGGTGCTATACAAATGTTATCTTGTAGCCCAGGAGACATAAGAATGTAGCAATGCTACATAGTGGCATAGGGCCAGGATAACTGCCAAGCTACTCTCTTTTATCTTACTCTACTAGAAAAGCAATATCTTCATTTTTAGTTTAGATGTGTCCCCCAACTCAACAAAGTGAAAGCAACCACCGTCCATGGAGTCTACTTTTCTCATTAAAAAAACACAAAATCATGCTATTTTCTGATTAGCCAATGTAGCACTACCACATGCAAATAGCATTACATAGAAAACTTGATATCCCAACTCTATGCAGACTTGACAAACAACAAATATCCGATATCCAACCTGCATGACTCACAAACTTATTTGGGTCTGTATAATATAATAGCACTTACCTTAATATCCCTGCAAACATCTGGACTTGAAAACCATGTCTCATCAACCAAAACGTCAGCAGATAGAGGTTTTCCATTAAATACAACTGCTGAAGTGGAAGATGTTAAAACAAGTCGTTTCACATTTGATGATTTTGCACACGATTTTAGAACATTGAGAGTTCCCTTGACTGCTGGGTCAATAAGTTCAGTCTGAAATGAGGATAGAGCTGGTAAATTAAACAACAATCAAAACAAGGAGGCCCATAAGGGGCCTCAGCTGCAAGAGCCTAAGCTTCAGTCAATTCTATGGTTCAGCAAATTATTACTTCAGTTAAATAGGCGAAGGGAAGCAAGCGAAGTTATGCCTGTCTTCAATTTATCCTTTTAACCATATCCAAATGCTTCAAGGATAACAGGTAATTGGGCGTGATACTCCATTCTTTATAGTTTACACTATTTTTTTCTATAAATTTCACAAAGCTTGTTTATTTTAAGTCTAAGAGGAATTACTGAACTCATTAGACTAAAACAACTAGATTGCATTATTATTTGCCGAAGGCAGAGAAAGGAGCAAGGTTTTGGAAAAGATTCAAAATGATATTTGATAAGTAACTCAAGCATTAATTGCCTGATTATAAAACAAAATGAAATATTAAATGTTATAAGGCCTTATGATTTCTAAAAAGGAATATCTTGTTAATTTCTCAAGCAACAACGCATAGAAAACAACTCCACTATAATACATCTGCCAAGCTAAACAGATTCTTCAAAGAATTTAAAGCCTTAGGAAATAAATTGCTTCGCCGAAGGAAGATTACATTCAATTATCTATTAGCAATTAGAAAATGATCTAGACCTGCGGGTCTATGGAATCAGTAAAACAGGGAGATGCAGTATGAAAGACCCCCTCACACCCCTCAACGGCTTGGTCAAAGGAACCTTCTTCCAGGAGATCTGCTTTAATTAGTCGCAATCTCTCCTTCGCACCATCAAGCTTAAGCAAGTGATCTACCTTTCTTGGATCATCTGTAACGAGTAACAAACCATCACAAATTCGTAATCCATGCCTGCTGACTATAAATTAAAATCTGGATATGAATTTTCTGAACATTTTGATATAAAAAGAAAAACGGGGGAAACAAGAGAACGAAAAACAGAGACAACAAAACAATTTTATGGTGATAGATTGGACAATATTAATACGCACTCACTTGGGTCGCGAACAGTCCCCTTGACAGTGTAACCACGAAGAAGAAGGAACTTGACGAGCCATGAAGCAATGTAGCCAGAAGCACCAGTGACGCACACCACCTTTCCTTCTCCTACGGTGCTGCTCATACTCTCTCGATCTTCCGAATAATTCTGTTAAACACTGAGCAGTTTCACCTTATGTATTCAGTGTTCGCTGTCGGCCCTTCTTTTTCCGATTTCAACAAGCTTTCCCTGCGGCTTCATCCAGGCTTGGATTTCCAACAACGAGTGACGGGAATAAAATGTCAACGGCTTTTTTGATATATTATACACTGTTAAAAAAATTTTAAAAAAACCTAAAATGCTATGGTTTTAAAAGTATTTATTAGTATTCTACAATTAAAATTATTCTTGGAAAGAACTATTTTTAAATTATACACAAGTTGTTCTTTTTTTTTTTGAGCTGGTACATAAGTTGTTCTTATTAAGAATGATTTGTATGTTATCTAATAAAAAGTAAAATCATTATTGGCATAAAAAATGAAATCGTTCATGTCAAGAACTATTTTACTTTTTGACCATAACACTCCCGCGTGCATGCGAGAATCTCTCATCCATTTTCTTCCCAATATAAATATTCACTTCTCTCACTTGTCAACTCAATTCTTCCTTTCCATGCAAACCCGTAAGGCTACAGCAATGTACATGCTTTTGTATATTTACATGTTTAGCTTTTGTTTCCTACTTTCTCTTCTTTCATCCCGAAGTTCTCTCTTCTTCTTCCTCTTCGTGGTTCACTTGCTTCATTTTTATTTTTCTTTTGATCTATTATTTCTTCACTCTTGCTTCCAAACACTTGATAAGCTTTTTTACTGTTATTGTGGGTATGTTGTTTCTCTTCTCCGTTTTTTTTTTAATTTGCAGTTGTAATATAGAATTTGATTTTTCATCCTCACTACCCTTGATGAGCTAATATTTCATTATTCTAATTTTCAGGAAGTAAGTGATAGGTTCAACAATCTAGAATATTTGTGCTCTTTCTAAGCTAAGTGCCTCTTATTTTGATAGTAAAACTATCATCTGCTATATTGTTTTAAGATGTTAAGATTTTAATATAAGCTCCAATCTTTTTTAAGTATATGATTATTATTTTTTTTCCTATGAAAGTATACTTCTCGAAGAGTTTAAATTTGGTAAGATAAAAGTAAAAAATAATTATATATATGCCCTCAATATCAAATCTGTGGTACAAATGATAAGTAAGAAGTTGGTAGGAAAAAAAAAAGTTTACCCACTTCAAGTTAACTATTGCTTTGTATATTTTTTAGGTAAAAAAAGGGTATAAGTAATGGAAAATTGAAATGAATGAAAAACACTCATAATTTCTTCTCTTCATTTTGCCTTTTCCCTATTTGCTATGTTGTATTTTTGAATCGATGATGATGTGCTTTGAATCAAAGATTTTCCTACTCATAACTGTATTGGATGAAATAGGTTTGACAGATAACCATGACCAATTCCTTTTAACCGAGTTGATCATAACTTCCCTTTACTTGAATATTCTTTAAAAAAATTAGAGAAAAAATCTTTATTTTTGAACCCTTCATTTCAACCTAATTATTTTGGCCCAAAAGATTTTAACCAAATTAAATTTTTAGTTTCATGCAATAAATTGACATTTATTAAATTAAATTTTACAAAAATAATGAAATAATAAATACGTATTATAATGTATAAATAATATATATATGCGTAAAATTTAAAAAATCTTCATGATATGTTATTTATTAAAATAATATTACAAGAAAGAATTTTAATATTAAAAAGATACTCCCTCCGTTCCTTATTATAAGAGACATTTGATGCTCATGGCATGTTCCTATATATAAGAGACACTTACAAGTTGTCTCTACTTTTTTGTATTGATTTACTATTTTACCCATATTTATTATCTCTAACTCACACTCTCTCTCCCTCTCACTTCTCTTTCTTTTAATAATTTAATTGTTCTCTCTCATGCTCTCTCTCCTTATTAATGAGGGCATTTTTAGAAAAAAAATTATACTTTTTACACATTAATTGTTCTTAACTAATTTTAACTGTTTTTTTGATCAACGTACTTCGGTTATTTGTCTCTTATAATAAGGAACGGAGGGAGTATCTGTTTAGCATGTTTTATATAATGCAACAATATATTAATTAATACCTAATATAAATAAAATTATAGAAGTAGCAAAAGAAACAACAACAACAACAAGCCTTATCCCACTAGGTGGGGTCGGCTATATGAATCACACAACGCCATCGTGCTCTATCAACAAATCAGTCTTTAGATATGTTGTTGACTAGTAAATCTCGCTCAATGACCTCATTCAGCGTTCTTCTCAGTCTTCCTCTGTCTTTTTTTACGGGACTCCATATTGTCTAATCTACCCTTCTTACCGAGGCCTCCAATGGCCTTCTCTGCACATGTCCAAACCATCTTAAGTGATTTTCAACCATTTTCTCTTGAATAGGTGCCACACCAACTCTTACTCTAATATTTTCATTTCGAATCTTATCTTTTCTTATATGACCACATATCCATTTCAACATCTTCATTTCTACTACCCCAACTTTGTACTCTTATTTTCCCTTTATCACCCAGCATTCACTACCGTACAACATAGATGGTCTTATAGCAGTCCGATAAAATTTTCCCTTAAGCTTCTCAAGTACCTTCTTATCTCAAATAACTCTGGTAGCCTTCCTCCACTTCAACCAACCGGCTTGTATTCCATGAGAAACGTCTCTATCAATTTCACCATCCTCATATATAATGGATCCAAGTTATTTAAACTTTGATACTTGACAAATGATTTGATCCTCCATTTTCACCTCCAAATCACCATTGCTTTGCCTCCCCCCAAAATTGTAATGCATATATTCTGTTTTGTTCCTATTCAAGCGAAAACCTTTCGACTCCAAAATCCTTATCCATAACTCCAATATAGAGTTAATCTCTTCTTTTGACTCTGCCATGAGAACTATGTCATCTGCAAAGAGCATGGACTTAGGGATTTTTTCTTGGATAGGCTCAGTTAGAACATCCAGAACAACATCGAATAAATAAGGGCTTAAAGCAGATTCTTGATGTAGGCCAATCTTAATGGGGAAGTCCTGTGCCTTACATCCAGACGTTCTTACACTAGTAGTTACCCCCTCATACATATCTTATATGACTTTGATATAAGCGACCCATACACTTTCTTTTCCAAAGCCTTCTAAAGTACTTCTCTTGGCACAAGATCATAAGCTTTTTCCAATTCAACAAAAACTATATGTAAATTCCTTTTTTTACTCATATATCTTTCCATTAACCCTCTTAGAAAATAGATTGCTTTAGTTGTGGATCTCCCTAGCATAAATCCAAATTGGTTCTCCAAAATAGAAGTCTCCAACCTCAACCTATGTTTGATCACTTTTTCCCACAACTTCATTGTATGACTCATAAGTTTTATCCCTCTATAGCTTGCACCGTTTTGAATGTCTCCGTTATTTTTATAAATAGGAACTAAAATGTTTCTCCTCCAATCATCCGGCATATTCTTGGAGCATAAAATTTCATTAAAAACTTTGGTTAGCCAGAATTCACCTTCCTTACCCAAATATTTCCAAACTTCAATAGGAATACCATCAGGCCCAACGGTTTTACTATTGTCCATTTTCTTGAGAGCTACCTTAACCTCTCCGATACAGATCTTGCGGTAAAAAGTCAAATTCCGATCATCTTCACTAATTAGCAAATCTTATAAGTCCTGAGTCTCACATTCGCTTCCCTCATTAAACAACTTGTAAAAGTAAGACTCCTATCTATGCTTAATATCATCATCAGTAACTAGCACTTTACCATCTTCATCCTTTATATACTTCACTTGGTCTATATCTCTCTTTTTCCTCTTCTTTTGCTTCGCAATCTTGTAAATTTTTCCCTCACCTTTGTTCCTAACTCCTGATAAAATCCTTCATAGGCTTTAGTACATGCATTGCTCACTGCTCTCTTCGTCTCTTTTTTAGCCAAACGATATTTTTTCTAGTTTTTTACACTATTGCAGAAATGTATGTCCTTAAAACAATCTCTTTTCTGTCTGACTTTCTCTTGCATACTCTTATCCCACCACCAAGTCTTTTTATCTCTCTGAACACAACTTTTGGATTCTCTCAAAATTGTTTTAGCTACCATACGAACCCTTGTAGCAATCTCTTCCCACATCATGTTCACATTTCTCTACAACTCCCCGATCTCTTCCTCCAAAAGAGTCCTTTTGAATAACTCCTGCTTCTCACCCTTTAACTGCCACCACTTAATCCCGGGTTTTACCACTTGATGATACTTTTGTCTCGAACAAGTAGCAGAAGAAACAAAAGGAAAAAAATCTCTATTTCTTAAACTTATTTTTTTATTTTAATTACAAAGAAATAATTTACGAAAAATGGTTAAAAAAAGAATCTAAAAATTACTAAATCTAAAATTAAGTTTGTTTGCTATACTTTAACAGATTTTGCCAATAGTAGCAACAACACATTTTTTATAGTAATTCATGATTTGGGATTATACAGTTTTTATTGTGTTTTGTCCCCTATATATGGATTCCATTGTGTCTTTGGTTAATAAATCTTGATTTTGTAAAAAGTAATGGTACAGTGGAGTTAACTTATTTGTATGATTTAATTTTACTTGACTAATGATTATACTGAAATGATTAGGAAGTAGAATGGATCATAGAAAGGAGTTCGTGTGTGTATTCGCAAATAAATGAATTTTTAATGACCCAGCCGTTATAACATTTGAGTCTAATAATGTAAAAATTATCAAAGTTAATGAAAATATTACCTTGGGCAAATTAAAGCAAGTTATTGGATGACAGTTACGATTTTCTCCCCGTCAAAACATGACAAATTTAGTATATAGATATCCTACATGCATAAATCTACCACAATACCAAGCATGCAATTTGGAAGATGATGCAAATATAAAGTAAATGTGGCAAGTGACTAGAAGATTTTTAACTCAATTAACATGTGCAAAGTTGTATGCTAACATGTGTGATTTACTAGTGGCCATGTTGAGTCACAACCCATAGGTGATTATGTAGAAAATACGTTCCCATCAAATAGCAGTGGGGTGAACATTATGGAACAAGAATCTATGTTTAGT